GAGTACATTGATCTAAGTATGGCTTTACAGTGCGGGAAATGAGAAAACTAATGCTGGTGCTCATGCTGAGTTCTGTTTGCTGTCAGTGTCAGGAGAGCTTGTCCGAACCTGCTTGCACGTAACCGTTCTTTGTAGTGCAAATACAGGAAAAAGGGATGTTAGTCTGAAATTTCCCCTTGGATGCTCAGGATGGATCTGTTGAGGAGATGGATCTGCACTCTTTTCCTGGTCTTAGTTTAAGAACACCGTTCTAACCTGTAAATGGTAGGCGTGACAAAGGTAATTCATAGTTTACTCCCATCAAAATCAATGGGAGTTAGGGCCTCTTTGAATCTGACCCTAAAGTGATTGTAAAAATGGCACTTTCTCACTCAACAGATCAGCTCATTGTTCTTTTAGCCTTGCAGGACCAACAAAGCAGAGTGCACACACTTCATCCTGTTCCTTTTTTGGGTATCAGTAAAAACTGTCTTACCAGGTTTCAGTCACTTATACCTGTGCAAACGTACTGGAAAGCATTGGGGGATTCCAAGGATATTCCGGAGTATGATTTGAAAGCAGTAAATTGCACAGATGTGGATAAGGGTTTAATTTGCCCTGCAGAATCTTTGACCAGTGGTGATGTGAGAAGAGCAGAAACCAGGCTGTTTTTCTTAGAGTACTTGCTCATGTTGATTCCATTCTAGGTGTGCGCATGCCCATGTGTGCAGTCATCGGAGATTTTTGCTTTAGTGGTATCCGTAGGGCCCACTGTGGTGCCCCCTACGCTCCATGCCACAGCATATCAGGCGCTGCTGGCCCTACGCCCTCTCAGTTCTTTCTTACCGCACGTGGTGGTCAGTCCAGTTGGAGCACCTCTGTCTCTTGCTTGGCAAGCAGCGGGCCAGTGGTTTTTCTCAGCCTTGTGCTTTTAGTTGTAAATAATTTTATTGTTTGTTAGTTAGTAACTAAGTAGCTGTTAAGTGTTCAGTTAGTTAGGGTCCCAACAGGGACTTTGCCACAGGCGCGGGCCAGGCCAGTCTCTGGGATTTAAGCCTTGCTCCATATGTAACAGCCTATGCCTGTTAGTGACCCACATGATAGTTGTTTGCAATGCCTCTGGGAATCCCATGTGAAGGAGTGTTGTCACATCTGTAAGAACTTTTGTCCTCAGATGCAGAGGGAGCGCAACATAGGACTCAGGGTCCTCCTGATGCAGGCTGCCCTGTCACATGTAGCCAAATGGTGGAGTTGCTATAGGGAAGGTTTGGGCCAGGGAAGGAGAGGTCCAAGCGGATTTCTACCTTTTACAAAGTAGTCCCATACTCTGAAATGTGAGACTGCCTTTTGAAAACAGGAACATGAAGCCTTGCCTCACAAACTCTGATCCCAAGGGAATGAGCATGAGTTTACTAAATGAGCCTTTATGCCTTTGGGCACATGACTTATAATATGAGTGGAACATGAGTCAAACATGGTAGAAACAATGCAAACTTTATGTAAGTCATTGTGAAGAAATACCATCTTGATGTATGCTGAGAGACTTATATAGACAGTCCTGTATTTCTTCCAGAACTCCCTATGTCAGGGCATGTCAGATCTATCTAATCTCTGATCAGGCACTGGATGTGATGTTCCTTGGCTAATGGCAAAAAGCCTAATGGTCCATAAATTAGTGGTGATTAGTCAGCCCTATTTAACGTGGCACACTCCAATGAGATGAAGGGTAATACAGAAATATCTCAGTCCACCTCAGAAACCCTCCTCCTGCTCCCGCAAACAAATTTTGTGCTTGCTAGCTGGGAACAGGCAGCTTCTTAAAGTGCATCCCAGTAGACTGGCAAACAAACCAACCCAGTGTGTGCACAGAAACCAATAACTGCTGAGTTACGGTGGTTTTTTATTTTATTTTATTTTTTTTAAAGGGGGCTCTAGGGCCTTGTTTTTAGAAATACCCATCAGGGCGGGGATTGTCCTCCTCTGTGTTTTGGAAAGTTCCTAACACATGGTGGGATACAATGGTACAATTTACTGCGTTGTAAATTGGACTCATTAAAATCCATGGGAGCTGCAGGTATTTGGCATTTTTTGGAAACCAGGCCCCTGGTCCTTTAAAGAGCATTTTTATAAATATATGCATGGGCTCAATTTTAAACTTTGGGGTTCCTAATAAAACGCCTATTCTGTATTTGGGCATTGTTGCTTGCTTACTTGGATGTCGTTTAGGTCCTTAAAACAGATAAGTGCCCAAATCCATGTTTGGGCACCCTAATTTAGATGTCATTTGAAATTTGTGTTTTTAATCTGTGGGTTCAATCCTGACGATTCAAGAATCCATCTCAACCTCCCAATTGACTTTGGGGGCAGGATCAGCCTGTTGAAAATCTACCTCTCCTGACTCTTCCTCTTGTCAGAATATCTGACGAAGGGGATCCCTTTGTGTATTTAAATTGCAAAATCGTGCTGCAGGCTGATAATAAAGCTGTATTTCAGGTTTGGAAAGCTAATGCATTTTGAATGCAAAGTGAAAACATACTGGCTGCATTCCTGCTTGAAAAGTGCGTGTGTGTGTGTACACAGGGTATATCACTTTAGGATCTACTGTATATACCCTACAGTATTGCTGACCCCAAATGTTCAAAAATCACGTCCGGCTCACACAAACTCATGAGATTGGCTTTAAAATTATGAAATTGTATAAAAAATAATAGATTTTTGGTTTTTTTGAGCCTTTAGGGTGCACTGGGGTCAAATTGTGAAGCTTTCTCCACAGACACGAGGGCTAGAAATTTACTTTTTCTTTAAGAATGAAGGCTGAAATCGCCACACATCCATTTGATGTTGGCAACATGCCATATCCAAGAGGGAAGAGCTGCCTTGTCTAGGCATTGTGATGCACGGTGCTTTTAAGGGGACAGCTCTCATTTCCCGGGGCTAAAATCCTGCGGAAAGCCCCTCTGCCCCACACCCTACTCTTGCAACCACTGCAGCTGGCTCACCCTATCTGGGATGACTCTTTTTTTTTATCCCCCTCTGCCCCTCCCTATTCCTGGGTTCCTCCCTCTGCCATGTCTGGCAGTGCCTGTACCCCATTCTTAACCTCATCTCCAAACCCCAGGCCCTGTTTTTTATTTTTTTGCCCCTGGGCCCCTCTCCTTCCCCTGCCTCCAGCTGTTGGACCCTCCTCTACATTCAGTTTGGCCCCTGCTCAGATTCTGCCCATCCCTCCCCTACAACTTGCCCATTTTACTCCCCAGGAACAGCTAGGAGCCCCTTGTCAGCCCAAAGGGGTGCAGAGTGAGGGCAGGGGTGATGTCGGCAGATCTCCCTGAGCATCCTCCGTTCACACCAGCAGGGTCAGTGACAAGTAACACAGAGCAGCAGATTGTATGGGGCAGCGGATGGAAATTTGACACGGGCTCCCGCATCCCTCTGTCCCCTCCCACTCCCCCGTCACTGGGCAGGCTGGCGTCACGCTCGCAGTAAACAATGGGACCTGGGGGCCAGCTTTCCTGGGCACAAGGCCGGGAGTCCTAGTCTGCTTATCTGGGAGCAGCCTGGGACAAAACCATGTCCCTGCAGCCAGGGTGTAACCAGAAAGCACGGTTCCTGGAGGGGGGTTTGGGATGGGAAGGTCCCTCTTACCTTCCCTCCAAGTGGTGCACTCTCTGGGAGCAGGTGGCTGGGTCCCAGGCAGGCTGGGGTCTCTCCACTGGGAGAGTCTCCTGGCAAGTGTTGGAATGTTACTCCTCAATATTAACCTCTCCTGGCTGCAACCAGGGCTCTGGGGACCCCAGCAGCAGGCTTGGGGATCTTGCAAGGAGTGTGGACTCCCCAAAGCGACCCTGAGTTACTTCAGCGAGTGCAATTCATTTCCTTCTTCCACTGGGACCGAGTGACCCTGGTGATCATTGAGTCCATCCCAGCACCTCCTGGTTTCTAGTGATCAAGCGATAGCACTGCAGCCACCCTGCGCCAGACCCTGCCACTTGGGGATTCCACATTCCCTGGGCACGGGGCTGACTGGCTTCTTCACAGGGGCTGGGGCTCCCGCCGTTGGCCCTGAGGCTGCCTGACTGCCAGAGTCCTGGCCACTGGGGCTGATGAACAGTGGGAGCTCGCCCAGGATTACTTAAAAAATAAAAAATAAAAATTGAGATTTGACATTTGAGAGCTCTTTTGTGAGATCATACGTCGGGCTTAATTTTACTTACAAATTGTGTCAATCACAAGGAATTCGAGAGAGTTGGCACGTCTGCCCCTGACTCTCATGTTGATTAAGATTAGGGGCCTGGAGCCCGAAATAAATCAGCTGATCTTGACAGGAGCTGTCTTGTCACTTCTGCTCATGTATGCAATGTAATGTTGCCTTTGGCCGGATAGCTTTTGCACAAAGCTGGTTAGGTTATCAAAGGTAGGTGAGGAGAGGCGATCTGCACAGGGATTATTTCTCCCTCCTTCCACCTGCCCTGGCATGCTTGTGGGGAGAGGGCTGCAGTTGACTGAATTTGCCTTACAGTTGGATACTGGGCATTTCATAATCCCACCTTCTAAACAAACTTGTTTTCCAGTACTTCTACGTGTCTGGTAGCTTTTCGGTAATGGGTAGTTCTATATCTTCAGTTCACATTTGCCCTGGCCATTAAATTACTCTCCTCTTTTCCCATCCCCCTGCAAATCTTCAGCTTCCTTGGCCCCCTGAGATTTTGATGAATAAACAAGATCTGGATCTTTGTGACTGCAGTGTCAATTGGGAGGCCCTCAAATTTGGAGTAACTTTGTCAGTGCAGTTACAGCTAACTTTCCCCAGTGTCTGTGATCAGACTCTGGCCCCTTAAAAGGGGGAAATGGCAGCTGGCAGTAGAAACTTGCAGGTGCGGTTATGTTTCTGATGAGACATTTTATTTTGTTTCTCTTATTTGCACATCTGTATAACCTGACTACAGTAAAGTTTAGGTTTACTTTAAGATCTGCGGATTCCAGGTCTCTTCCATCTTTAACTATTGAAATCCTGTTCGTAGGTTATTTGCCCAATGGTATTCACGCAGTGGAAGCAATGCTGGCTGCTGCGAGTATTGGTGCTATTTGGAGTTCAACTTCGCCTGATTTTGGAATTAACGTAAGTAATCTCAGTATTGCCCATTCCACGGAACCCTGCCTAGTGCAGATGGTGGTTAGATCTGGGATGCATCTGTTTAGAGTGGACTGAAGATGTACGTGTTCCATTTGTTTACTGCTTCTGCCATCTTGTGGCAAAACCCCAGAAACTAGATTTCCTTCCCAACTTGAGCAAGGAAACTGATTAGGCTGAGACTTTTCAAACTGCCATGGAATCTGGAAGCCCAGTTTCCATTAATTAAAACAAACTAGGTGTTCAAGTCCATGAGACGGTTTTGAAAGTTTCAGCTTTAAATTGCTCATTTCCAAATCAAGCCTGGGTTGGTAGTGTGCAATAGTTGTTGCTGTCTGACTGCTCGTTTGCCATGTTACATGAATTGGTGCTTAATTCACTCCATAGAGAACAGATCACAACAAGCACCAAGTGGCACCACTTGGTGACCAAGTGGCAGGCCAAAGATTGAATAGGCTATGGAAATTGACAGTCTTCCTGGTGTCAAGGTGGCCTCTCCAGAATGACTCCAGCACATCAACATTGTAAGAATATACTGTGGATGGTATGAGACCCCTTCCTGACCTCATCTCTCAATCAATTTATGCCCTGAAACATGCAGATCAATAGCCCTTATGCTAGCTAGGATAGCTTACAACTGCAGAAGCTATTCCTATTCGTAGATCTAATCGTTTTTTGAATTATACTGAGCTATTTGCCTGCAATATTCACTGCCACGGAATGGTTTTGCAAGTGTTTATATGACAAAAGAAAAACCAGTATCTACTTTCTTCCAGTTTTTTTTCCCTTCTGGTTTTACTTTTATCCTGTTATTGTAGAATCCTAGAAGATTAGGGTTGGAAGAGACCTCAGGAGGTCATCTAGTCCAACCTCCTGCTCAAAGCAGGACCAATCCCAACTAAATCATCCCAGCCAGGGCTTTGTCAAGCCTGGCCTTAAATCCTCTAAGGATGGAGATTCCACCACCTCCCTAGGTGCTTCACCACCCTTCTAGTGAAATAGTTTTTCCTAATATCCAACCTAGACCTCGCCCACTGCAGCTTGAGACCATTGCTCCTTGTTCTGTCATCTGCCACCACTGAGAACAGCCTAGCTCCATCCTCTTTGGTTAAAGGCTTCTGTCAAATCCCCCCTCACTCTTCTCTTCCCAGAGAATAATTAGCTGCAGGATGGGACCAAGAACCATGAATCCAAATGCTAAAAAAAACCCACTGGCCCTTCTATTGGGAGAAAGAAGGAACTCTTTTTGGTAGATGGTCCTTCCCTATATCAGAGCTGCTCATCTTCCAGAGGGCTGACATTTGAGCATTAGTATTAAGGATTTTGAAGTTAAGTAGCAAGACTGTGGTTTTCAAAGTGATGTACAGAACTTTAGTTTTAAACGATCAAGGATGTCACATAGAGATCCCACATCTAGAAGAAGCAACAAGAGAATGTAGCCAGGATTGCAATGATCTTCATGTGCCTGCCAAACAGTAACTAGTGCCATTAAGTGTTGTTGCAGAGGATAGAAGTCAGGCCAAGACTTCTCACACCAATCTCCTTTGGGAGGTGCTCTGAAAGCTAACAAGTAGCCAGTTTCTAACCACTTTGCTGTCTCAGCTTCTGTGCCACAGCAGAATCCTGTGGCTTTCTAGTGCTAAGTGCTATATCTTGCACTCTGCCTCATGTTTGTAAACGGCTTGGAAATCTTTGGCTGGAAGGAGCTGAATGAATGTGAAGTATTATCTAGGATAGGATATCTAAGACACCCCCCTGTGTTGGGCTTGGCCCTTTCTCCCTTTATTTTGCACACCAGCTGCTTAGTTTCACCTTCCTTTTTCCATCTGATTGAGGAATGGCTCGGGCAGTACACAACTTGCTTGTGACCTCTCCAGGAGCTTGCAGTTAATACTTTGTCATTCTCTTGTGCTCTTCCTCTGACGAGCTTTAGAGGCATTGTTGAATTAAGTCTCAGGACACCCCTTTGAGATGAGTATCAACCCCATTTTACAGGTGAGGAAACTGAGGCACGGAGATCAAGGGACTTGCCCAAGGTTGCTCAGGAAGCCTGCTGCAGAGTCAGTGTTAGAACCCATATCTCTTGCTTCAGTCTGGTGCTTTAACACTGCCTTAATGAGCAGGAGTTTATTGGCTATTCACCTGAGTCTAACCAAGTTTGGAGCTTTCTGCAGCACCAGACCCCTGTCTTTTCTATTGACTCCTTTATTCCTTTTAAGGGAATTATTACAAGAGATCCTCCTTTTTGTTTCCTCAAGGAGGTGAATCACTGAGACACCAGCAGGGCTTGTGCAGTTGGCAGCTTAGGGGTGTGCTTTTGTCTATCAGAAATGCAAACCCAGCTGCGACAAAATAGATGAACCTCTTCTTACTTCTGTGGGTTGCCAGTGACTTTGAACACAGTATCTTAGTGGGTGTCTAGAACTAAATGCCTTTGCCTGGACAGGTGTCTTTCTCAAACACAGTCCATATGCTTTCTGGGTTCTGATTTTATTTAACCTAGAAATGAACAATAATGAAACATAAAGTTCAGTTCAAACCTTCCTCTGGGGATTGGCCCATCCTAGTGCCCAAACTCCAGTTCCTCTCTAAAGAGCAACTCTGCATATATAAAGTTATTTATTTGTTTGCCTATCATCTAACTCAGTGACTTAGCAGAACCCCTTTAACTCTTTCCCAGTAGGATCAACATCTGCCAACAGGGTGAGGTGTTTCAGGCTAACATGGCTGATAAAAATGTAGGGCTGGAAGGGACCTCAGGAGGTCATCTAGTCCAACCCCCTGCTCAAAGCAGGACCAATCCCCAACTAAATCATCCCAGCCAGGGCTTTGTCAAGCCTGACCTTAAAAACCTCTAAGGAAGGAGATTCCACCACCTTCCTGGGTAACCCATTCCAGTGCTTCACCACCCTCCTAGTGAAAGTTTTTCCTAATATCCAACCTAAACATCCCCCACTGCAATTTGAGACCATTGCTCCTTGTTCTGTCATCTACCACCACTGAGAACAGTCTAGATCCATCCTCTTTGGACTCCCCTTTCAGGTAGTTGAAAGCAGCTATCAAATCCCCCCTCATTCTTCTCTTCTGCAGACTAAACAATCCCAGTTCCCTCAGCCTCTCCTCATAAGTCATGTGCTCCAGCCCCCTAATCATTTTTGTTGCCCTCAGTGGACATAAAGAGCAATTGATAACTCTTCTTTAAAAGAGCCCTTAATCTATTTGACAACTGTTATCAGGTTCTCTCCCACCCTCCGAGTAATTTTCTCAAGTCTAAACATGCCCAGTTTTTTTTAACCTTTCCTCATAGGTCAGGTTTTCTAAACCTTTTATTACTAGAGTCCTGCAAATCTGTGGATAACCACATCAGCGGATGCAGATATCCGCTGATCATTTTTGTGGATAGTGGATCAGATACAACTGCGCAGGGCTCTACTCACTGGCAGTGCCTGGCCAGCGGTGTCCGGTTCAGGCAGCCCATGGGGCACAGAGCGCTTGGGGCCTGGGGCTCGGCAGCAGGTTGGAGTCGGGGCTGTCTAGCATCAGCTTGCTGCACCGCTTCCTGTCCAGCAGTGCCAGCATCCCCACCATGGCCCGGCCCGGCAGCACTGGCTGGGCTTCCAGTCCCGGGCCTCGCCTGCCAGCTCCTGGGCAGTAGGACTGGCCTGCAGCCACGGGGATTGGAGCGGGTGGTGCCCCACCCGTCTGCCACACTCTGATGCAACATGTGCTGCTGACGCTGTGTGCCATCACTCGTGAGCCCCGGGCAGCAGAACGTGATGCAATGCCCCTTCCCCTCCACTCCTCCCCACCCCATGTCATCCCTCCTCAAGACCTCACCCCTGCACTGCCCCTTACCTCCAGTCCTCACCCTCGTGCTGCCTCTTCCCCACAAGACTCCACTCGCTCCTGCCTCCCTTCCCCTCCTGCCTATCACCATCCCTTGTGAGACCGCTCGCTGATGCGGATATAGATAAAGGACAGCTAGCAGGTCGGATTGCGGGTTGATCCTGACGGATCCACGTTTTTGTATCTGCGCAGGGCTCTATTACTTCCATTTCTCTGGGCTTCTCTAATTAGTCCATATCTTTCTTAGTGTGGCCCTCACAACTGAACACGGCACTCCAGCTGATGCCTCACCAGCACCAAGTAGAGTGGGACAATTATCTAGCATGTCTTACATCTGACACTCCTATTAATATACCCCAGAATGAAATTAGCCTTCTTTTCAACTGTTTATATTTGCCTTTTTTTGCAACTGCGGTACACTGACTCAATTTGTGATCCACTATAACCCCCAGATCCTTTTTAGCAGTACTACCACCTAGCCAGTTATTCCCCATTGTGTAGTTCTACATTTGAATTTTTCCTTCTGAAGTATAGTACTTTGCACTTGTCTTTTATTGAATTTCATCTTGTTGAAGTCTGACTAGTTATCCAATTTGTCGGTCATTTTGAATTCTAATCCTGTGCTCCAAAGTGCTTGCAACCCCTCTCAGCTTAATGTCCTCTGCAAATTTTAGGAGCATATTTTTCATTGTGTTATCCAAGTCATTAATGAAAATACTGAATAGTACTGGATGTAGAACAGACCCCAGCAGTATCTCATTAGATTCATTTTTCTGTCTCCCCTCCCCACCCCCTCCAGTTTGACAGCAAACCATTGATAACTACTCTTTGAATATAGTCTTGCAACCTGTTGTGCGCTTACCTTGTAATACCTTCATCTAGGCCACTCTTCACTCATTTTGCTTATGAGAATGTCATGTGGAACAGTGTCAAAAGCCTTATTAAAATCAAGATCTATCCAGTCTACAGCTTCCCTTCCCGTCCCATCCACTTGGCCAGTAACCCTGTCAAAGAAGGGAATTAAGTTTGGCGAGTGCTCTCTTCTCCCCCCCCCCCCCCCCCGACAAATCTATGTTGGCTATTATTTATAACCCTCTTGTCCTCTAGGTACTTACTAATTGTTTAATATGTTCCAGGTAGTTGGGT